GATAAAGATTGTAAACTATTTAAATCATCTAATGTATTATTTTTTGTTGTTTGTTGAATTGTTGTTGGTGCTGACGTTGAACCAAGAAATGATTCCACTAAAGAAAAGATAAAATTTTTTGTTTTTGGAAGGTAGAAAGACGGAGATTGGTTAACTTACAATCCATTTCTAAAAGAGATTTTTCTGCTGCTGGAATAGTATAATCACTAACAGCAATAGTTGATGGAGATTTTCCAACCATTGATGCATGTTGTGAAATGTGCTGAAAGTTGAAATTTAAATCTATGAAGAATAATAGAGTTAAATTTTTATACTTCATCTTCATCAGTTGATTCTTCTTCTTCTTCTTCCTCCTCTTCTTCCTCTACTTCTTCTTCTTCTTCAGATTCTTCTTCACTACTTGCACCACTTTGAGGTTGATTTTGAACAATATCTGGTGATCGAGCATCTAATTGTTCATATTCATTTGTTTTATTTCTATTTTCTGTTGATTTTTCTTCTTCTTCTTCTTCTTCTTCTTCTGTTTCATTCTCATCATCATCTGGACCTTCAGTTGAACTTTCTTCTTCTTCTTCTTCTTCTTCTTCTTCCTCTTCTTCCTCTGCTTGTTCTTCATCTGAATAAAACTTTTCATCTGTTCTAGTTTTTTTCTTTCCACCAGATGATATTCCAGATGCTGCACTTGATCTTCTTGATTGATCATGTTGTGATGTTGATGGATGAATTATTTCAACATTACGAACACTTGGATCAGCTGGTTCAAGTAGAAATTCAGGTAAATCTTTATAACCTACTGCTTTTTGACCAATAACATATGATAATGTACCTAATGTATACTGTTCATGATCTAATAAATAAACAAAACAAATAGAAGATTTGAGAGGGTTTTTTTTTAAATTTTTATTATGATGAATTTTACCTCGAATAATTGATTCAAGTACTGGTGCTGGTTTAGATGCTAAGAGAATTTTTTTAGCATGTTTACTTAATTTTGGACATTTATCTGTTTGAAATAATAAAGCTCGAAGTAACCGTGCTTTATCACGTGTATCATAATTTGTATCATATTTAGCTAAATTAAATACATATTGAACAAGTAAATGTGTTTGTTTAGCATTTATAACATAAAGTTTAGCAGCTAAATTAAGTATTTGATGTTTAACTATTGTTTCCTAGAAATAAAATTTTTTTGATTAAGAAAAAATTAAATAACATCTAAGACGAACTTCATCTGAAAATGTTTTTGCCATTTTTCTTAAAACATCTGGTGCTAATTTACTAATACGATCTGAATATTCTCCAATAAGCCAAAGAATAGATGCACGTGCCGCTGGAACAGTTACTTTATCAACCATACGAACAATATGTTTAATTATATCACTATATTGTGATGGCTAATCAAAAGATAAAAATTATTAAATGAAATCAATTAATAAAACTATCAGCGATCCCTATAGGATTAAAATGTGAAACACGATGTATCTACTCTTGTTAATCACAAGGAGATTGTTTTATTCTATTTATTTTTTGGACATATTTCTTCACTATTCCTCTCCAGAAATGCAATAAGGAAGTAGTAACAAGACGTTATTGACATACAGCCTCTGATCGGATATCAACAACTTCTATGACTTTCATAGGCCAGGCGGACATGCAATTTTCTAATCAATATTGCTTTACCATCTTACAAATGTTCATATACAGTAAAACACCTCATAGTGGATACCGTCATATAGTTTTATGATGGATACTTTCGAAAAGTTCCAATGGTGTTCACAATAGGGAATTTTCACTATATTTTAACAATTGTTAATTTTTCAGGAAGAAAACTGCATGAAAAAGAGAAGTAACAAATTATTTTATTCACTAATACCCTTCAGATACCCACAAAACGTGTATGTTCCTTGTAAGAAAAACCACTTTGCTTTCAGAAAAGATCTAACCTTCTTATAATGGACGCTTTTCAAAAGTCCAAAGAATGTCTACTATAGAAAGGTTATACTGTAGTCTGAAAAAAGCTATAAATCATACATCATTCGATGTTGATTCCAAATTATAAAGTTAGTCTTTAATAAAAGTATTTCTATTCGAGACAAATGAATTCTACCCAGAATATCTTTAGCTCAACTCTGAAACGTTCGTATTAATTCGCGCTAATGCAATATCAATGTTATGGGTGGAGAAACATTCTATCCAATTTAGAGTTGTGCTAAATTTGTAAGCTCATTATACTGAACACATGTTTCTGCAAAAGTACTCAATATTAAACAAGAATAACTTTGTTCGAATCCCAAATAGATTAAAGTAAACGCTTCCTTTTTATGAATTGAAGGAGTGAAAAACACAGTTTCAGATTATATTTATTTTTCTCAGGGATGTTTTATATTCTTAGTAAAAAAAACAGGCTTCTAATCCTTACGAGCGGCATTTTTCGACTAATGTTGACAAAAGGAACAAAGACTTTTATGCTATTAAATAATCCGTATGTTAAAGTGTAAAAAATAAAAATTACACCTTCAATTTTTCACCTAATGTCCGCCTGGATGTCTTTGGCAGGGAGTGGATGCAAATTTCTATCCTATGTATATCAACACTATTTTTTAGATCATGTTTCATAAAACTTTGTTTTTACATTGATTTGAAGTAATTTTTTAATAACAACAACACTTTCAGCAACAATTGTTTCATCTTTTTTTGACATTAATGCAACAAGTCCATTTAAACAAGCTTCAGTTACTTCAGGAATTGTACTTGCACATCGTCCAATAGCATGAATTGTTTGTGCACCAAATTCTTTATCTGGACTTACAACATAAGTCTACAAAAAATAAAAATTCATTTGAAAACTAAATCTTCGAAGAAAAAAATTTCATCTTACTTGAAATTCTCGAAGAATAGTCGAAATATTTGAAGCATTAGCTAATGTTGTAAGAATTTCAAGTTTATAACGTTTAACATGACTACTATCATTTGAATGAACATAAAATGATTTTAAATATGGTCCAAATATTTGTTTATGTTTATCAGCCATTGATGCTATTGATTTGAGAACAAT